AGACGACGCAGTGGCGCATTGCGCGCCATTGACAACGCGATATGTCATGTGCACTTTGGACTTGCGCAACCTCGAGTCGCTGTGGTGCTGGCAGGCTGCGGTCACCACGCCTAGAGCGAGTTGGTAGCCCAAGAGCCGGGCCTAGATGAAGAAAGGTTCCTTTTTGTCGATCTTTCATGTGACGAACGCCCCCTTCCCCCTGCCTCTGTCATGGGTTATGCGCTCATGCTGGTGCGCGGCGCAGTCGGCTGAGTTTTGACATCGGACTGCTCCGATAGGCGGATTCAGTTCTTGGTAATTTTTTACGTCGTCTCAGATTCCTTTTCGGCTTTGGCTATAGCAGGTGCCATGCTGTTAACATGCTCGCGTCAGCTGTGTTCCGGCCTGGGGCCGTCACATCATACAGGGGCATTAGCACTGGGGGTCAGCGTAGGAAAAATTAGGAAAAAATAAAAAAATCGTAGGAAAAATCACCCCATTGTTGCGGCGCTTGAGTGAATAAAGGCAGCTTAGGTACCGTGCGAACAAAGAGGACTACACGCACAGGAAGTTGTAATACCTCCTGATATTGACAACACGCGTCTTTCTTGGCGTGCAGTCAGAGGGTCCTTGCGTTGCAGCGTGCGTGCAAGGCACCGTTTGCAGGACGGGTTTCAATGGAGGCTGCTGCGACGGTGGTATGCCATCACGTGCCGCAGTGTGACTTTTTCCCAGCGCTGTGACGAACGGCGGCCCAAAGCCAGGCTGCACGAGTGGCGTTTTGCAGATCTTTGCGTCGGGTGGTGACGGCAATGTGCGTTTAGAGGGGATAGTGTGCAGCTGGTGTAAGGCTAAGGTTAGGGTAACCCTTCGGCTGAAAGAGAATCGTTGTATTTCTTATAGCCTTAAATGATGCACAACGTGAATTGCCGTTTAGGTTTCAGTGGATGTTTGGCGAGTTCCTGCCGCCCGTATAACGTTTTCAGTGCTCAATATCCGCCGCATTTGAATATTAGCTGATATCCTCGGGTCTTGAAAGGCTGATTGGTCAGATCTTCTCTGCTGACGTGGATCTGTCGGTGTTCTGAGGCTGTTTTAGCCATGGCTGACGCCACGGGCCTCTGATTTCAGACGTACTACAGCCAGGGTGACTACATCATCCGACAGGGCGCCAGAGGCGACACCTTCTACATCATCAGCAGGGGCAGGGTAAGCCGGCGCAGGCAGTCTGACGTCTGCATGACGTCAGTGTGCCGTCACGATGACGTCAGTGTGACGTCGCGATGACATCACAGTGGGTGGAGTGACGGTGATGTGACCCTCGGGTGAAGTGGAATTCTCTTAATGACGTCGGTATGGCGGCATTGTGACTTCAGGACATCAGGATGACGTCATAAGCGCTCAGGGTGATGTCATAGTCGTGTCAGGGTGACGCCATAGAAATGTCAGGGTGGCGTTCCAAATGGAGGGGCGCTCGTAACAACGCTCGCGACTGGGATGGACCGCAGCAGAACGGTACAAACTTGGCACCATAGTAGCGTTGCTGAATCGTCAGCGTGACAACACTAGAAAGCATAGCTGTGCGTTACGCTTTTCGGTAAAAAGACGCACAGGTTTCCTTTTTAAGATTTCCGTTACCGCTGCCCTTGTATTCTTTCTCCTTGATCCCGTTCATGCTGGGAGGTGCTGCTTGATGCATTGGGAGCTGGGTTGTCAATGCTTATGCCTACCATATTTTTACGGTTTTAACATTTTTTAAAATCAAATTTTTCCAGCACATTTTACGCAAAAATTATTATGGACCAAAACGAGTGGAGACACTCTAGTTGAGAACGAAGAATATCACGCTCTTCACCTTGAGTCCAATAAGCTTTTCAGCTTTTTTGTTTTTAGTTTTAGCAACGACCTTCTTGTTTGGGTTCAGGATGTGGGTCTTCACTGTCGATCCCGTCGCACGTGATATTCAGGGATCTTCGTTGCCGACGCGCGTCGCACGCGCTGAGCAGTCGGAGTTGTCTCCCTGGCTTTGATTCGATAGCGGACCCTGGTGCGTCGTGTAATACGACGATAATGCACTTTGTGGGGCACGTGTCGGTGACAGCTCCCCATCTACCACGTGATTCGATGGTGTCTCGTGGTGGGGCGCCGAGCTCTACTTATTTTCACCGAGGGTGCAAGTGAATGAGATGAGGGAATCCGAAGTGACAATCGATTCAGTGGATGAGAATTTGGAGAATCCAACTTGATAAGTGGCGTTAAAGCAGTGTGCGCCTGGAGTGTGCCTCGTACAGTTTTCGTGTGCGTCGTGTGGTGGCTAGCTCGTTAAAAAACCAGTTCGATGATGTTGGCCGTCGTTTATTAGAAGCGGGGAAGTTGGGGAGCCCGAATTGCAGCATCATTACCTACTTAATTTGCCGATCTGAACTCGATTCTGAGGCTGAATCATCCGAATGGTTTGATCTTGACATTCCAATCTGCATTTCTGACTACAGTGAACGGTCAATCGATAGCCCGACCTGAATTCACTGGGCGTGTCCTGGCGGCGGGAGCAGAGTGTTCTAATCTGAATGACCTGGCCCACCCCGTCTGCGCGGCCTGGCCTGACTGACCTGACCTCGGCTGCTTCTCCGCAGGTGAACGTGACCATGCGTTCGCCAGACTCGATGGAGGAGAAGCTGATCCGCACCCTCGGAAAGGGTGACTTCTTCGGCGAGAAGGCTCTGCAGGGGTAAGCCGTGCAGAACGCCGCCCCTCCCCCCCCCCCCCCGACCTGGCCTCTGCTACCACCCGCCCATAGGATGGACGCTGTTGCAGCCCCTGGATGATGAACGGGAAGACGCTGTTTGACAGGGCCTTTAAATCGTGAACGGAAAGACGTCGTTTGACAGCTCTCTCAGATCGCGAACGGAATAAAACACTGTTAAAGCATTGGAACCGCGAATGGGAAGCGACGCTGGCTTGTGGTAGAAGCAGAGGCTGGGCTGTGGTCGATGCACACATCACACACACACGCACACACGCACACACTTACTGGCGAGGTGCAATGGAAGAGACGCGCCCGTGCTGCGCAGACGTGCTGTGCTGACATGCTGTGCAGACGTGTTGTGCCGCTATGCTGTGCTGATGTGCTTCGTTGACATGCTGTGCTGACGTGCTGTGCTGCCGTGCTGTACTGACTTGCTGTGCTGACGTGCTGTTCTGACGTGCTCTACTGACGTGCTGTGCAGACGTGTTGTGCAGACGTGTTGTGCCGCCGTGCTGTGCTGCCGTGCTGTGCTGCCGTGCTGTGCTGACGTGCTATGCAGACGTGGTGTGCCGCCGTGCCCTGCTGACGTGCTGTGTTAGCGTGCTGTGCTGCCTTGCTTTGCTGACGTGCTGTACTGACGTGCTGTGCTGACGTGCCGTGCCACCGTGCTGTGCTGTGAATAATATGTATATATATATATATATATATATATATATATATATATATATATATAATGCTTGACTTGTTGTGCTGACGTGCTGTGTCCCCGTGCTGTGCTGTACTGACGTGTTGTGCAACTTAAATGTGTCTGTAGTGATAGTCTTATTCCTGGAAATAAGGCTATAGTAAATAAGTAACATTCCATTCCTCGGAAAAAAACCAAGGAGAATGGAGACAACTTGGTGTGGTAAATAGATAAGTTGGTAAATAAATGGGTTGGTGAATAAATAGATTTCCTGGTTTTTCTCCGAGGAATAAGACATTTACTACTGTCTTATCCATGTGAATAACATTCCTTGCAAACGCACTTGAAAAGTTACGTAATTTTAAATGTGTCTGGATGCACAGTTACAGTCGTGCATCCTCTTTTCACGTCGCAGAACAATATTTGCCGGCATTTCTTCAGTTCATCGAGTGGAATATTTTTATGTTGTTTTTGCGACAGTGGCATAGTCTTGCTTTGGTTCAGTGTAACGATCTTCATATGTGTTTGTGGCATCCGGGTGTTTGCACACTTATGTCGGGCTGTCAGCTCAGCCGGAGGGGGTTTGAGGAACGCTGGTGTAAGATGGATATAGTTCCGATCCACGTTATATCCATTAATCCCCGCGTGTCACGTACTATTGGCACCCCCCCCCCTTTAGCTGGAACTTTGATGGCTGCATATTGTATGCCTTTATACAGATATATGTACATATATATTTATCTGTTAGATATATAGATATACGTATATCTGTAAATATGTATGAAATATGTGTGTTTGTGTCTGTGTGGGTGTGTTTGTATGTATGAAATCTGTGTGGGTGTGTAAACATGCATGAAATATGTGTGTGTTTGTGTCTGTGTGTGTGCACACACGCGTGTGCGTGTGAGAGTGTGTGTACGTGTGTGTGTGCTTGAATCGTGTTTCCTGTGTATACCTTTAATGGATCTCTGACTGCTGCTACGGGTGTCCTTTTTAACATGTCTCTCCTGAAAGGTCTTAACCTTACCCACTCGACACTAGGAACAGCCATCTTACGTCGGAGAATGTCTTAGACGTCATTACGTACCTACAGACATGTCATATGATGACGTCACGCGGCGTGACCCACCAACCAGCGCGTGGCCGCTGAAGCGCTCACGCGTCTGGGATACATCGTCGACCCGGCCCGGCCCGCGTGGCAGTCGGCTTTGTTTTGGCGTCGCTCCGGGGCCTTATTGGCGTAGCGGAAATGCTCCCGGTGGCACGGGCTCCGGCTAATTTTGCCTGCCGGCTAATCTCGCAAATATTCACGCGGCGTCGTCGGGCGCGCCGAGGCGGAGGAGGCGCGCGAGAGCTGGCGTGCCGGCCTGCGGCGGCCGGTCGATGACTGAAGTGCTGTTGGCGCTTTATTTGTTGGCGTTCGTGACCGGGGTCCGGGTGGATGCGGCGGCGGTGGCGGTATACTCTGGCCCTTCGTCTCTGGCATGGCATTTGGTCTGTCGGCCGACCGGCTCGAGTTCGGGAGTTACACACAAAGCGCGCTCAGAATTTCGAACGTAGGCCTTTGAAAATCGCGCTGCATGTCAATGTTTTCCATGGACCGTGATGCAGTCTTGCGGACTGAGCTGAGCTCGGGGTCATGCGGGTACGTGGCCTGACGGTACAACAAGGCTCTCTGACATGCACCGTATGCCATCAGGTGGGAAGCCTGACCCGTTTCAAGGCCGCATCAGTAGCGACAGGGGACGGAGCGGGGGCCCGACCCAGCAGTAGCTTGTGCTCAGGTCGTATAAATATTCAAATGCAGGTCATGGAAAGTTTATGTGCTCGCTGTCGGATTTGTAGCTTACTTTTCCAACTGCGTGTTTTATAAACCTTTTTCTGCATTGTCATTGGTTATAAACTTAAATTGTCTCTAAAAGCGACAGCGTAAGGGATTTGACATCGACAGGTGTCAGCGTGTAAGCCAGCATGTATGGCCAACTGCAGGCAGGCCGTTCAATCAGATCAGAGTAGTGCCAGCTTTAGAAATACCAAAATTCCAAAGTACCAAAATATCAAAATACCAAATACTAAATACTAAATACCAAAATACCAAAATATCAAAATACCAAATACAAAATATCAAAATACCACGATACCAGATACTAACTACCAAATACCAAATATCAAGTGCCAAAACAGTAGGCAAATAGGACGTCAGCTTTTAGAGTAAAACTTGTCGAGCAGAGTTATGTCGAGCAGAGCCAGAACTTCTAACGCATTTGAGTAGAACACGTGCTAATTATCCATCGCGTCACTGAAACTGAGCTGGGACATGCATTTTACCATCGCAGGAACCAATTTGTTGTGAAGTAAACCCGAGACTCCGTTACCAATTAAGGCTACTGGTTTGATTCGCGAACGTCCAATGTCATCTAACCAGATGGAGCGTTTTCTTATGTAAGAAAGTTAGCTGCGAGGGAAAAGTTATGCTGCAGCTCTTTCAGGCTTAGATATTCGCGCGTAATTTTTACATTACACGCCATAAACGCACGCCGTGCAAAAACTCCACGTCACGAGCGTGGTGTGGGCGTGACACGTGACGCGTGACGCGTGAGCGTGGCAACTATTCTCCACCTGTTCCATTTATCCTCGCTGGTGCATGCTTCTATCTCACCGACCACCACTGCAATTGAACATGCCCGTCTCAACGATAACGCGCCAAGCGTAAAGCGAAATGTCTCGCCGCTTGACTTGACCCGACCTGAGCGACCTTGACTTGACCCGACCTAAAGCGACCTGACCTGACCCGACCTCGGCTGGCAGCGAGGACATCCGGACGGCCAACATCGTGGCCGACGACCCGGACGGCGTCGCCTGCCTCGTCATCGACCACGATACCTTCGACCAGCTCATCAGCCGGCTGGAGGAGGTGAAGAACCGATACGTCGACGAGACGCAGCTGCGCAAACAGTGAGTTGGGCGCCTCTCCGCGCCCTCGCCGACCCAGCGGTGGGTCATGCCAGTATGCTGTTAATCAGTCAATACTGTGCCAATGTAGATGTATATATATATATATATATATATATATATATATATATATGTATGTATAGATATGTATATATACATACATATGTATAACTAAAAGTGGATGTGCATTGGTAAGCATATGCATATATATGTATATATATATGTATATATATATGTATATATATATATATATATATATATATATATATATATATATATATATATATATATATATATATATATATATATATATATGTATACATATGGTCTCCATTTGGTGGTCTCGATCTTTTGATGCACAGATGACGACGGTGTGCAGCAGGCCAGGGTAGGCGAGAACATGTAGTTGTTTTTATCGCTGCTGTGGTATGGTGAAAAAGGATAGTTTCATGGAGGCATATTAGTGAGGATACCAATGATATATGACAATCGGAATAGTTGTCTTTCTTGAGTCCAACGAGATCTTCCAGTAGCGGCGTTAAGTGCGAAGAGTTGCAAACTGAAGAATTTCCACGTTAACGAGCACAGGCATCCAAGTAGTGGCCGTAGTCGTAATTTACGGGGGGGAGGGGGGGGGGGGGCCTTAGCTGGCTCGTATCAAGTGATAAGCGCCTTGTTCCTCCGGGCGTGTTTGCATTCCTACTGGCATGAAGCTCATGGCATCTCCACTTTTGTTTCGCTAGTCATTGCGCCATTGTGTGCTGCGTTATAGTTGCGTTGTATTAGTCGTTAGTCAGAGTCATAGTTGGGTTCAAAGCTCTGGGTTTCTACATGGCATTTCCCCTCGCGACGGGAATAATGCGACGTTGATGTTTTCCATGGCACAGCATGGTGTTTGGAACCTGGGTATGCTTCAGGCTTAAAGGCTATCTCATGGCTTGAGTTCATCAGGTTCGACCCGTTAGTCGCGCTTCACAATTCACGCCGTTCCCGTCCTGTCTATTAAGCGCGCTTGCGTCTGGATGCTTATCGGTTTTGCTCGTTTCTTCTGATGTCATTCGCTTAGCGTTTTTGTGTAACTGCGCGGCGTCACGCTAAGAGACGTCAGCCTTATTCTGTATGGTTTTGTGGTTATTTCCGATGGTTTTGTGATTATTTCCTCGAGCCCCCGGCTCGGTTTGGCTCATGCGTTTGATTTGGGCTCCCGTCAGCTTTTTGTTCTTGAGTGGAAGTCAAAGGTACGGACCAACGTAT